ACAAGATAGTGGGTCCGTGGACAGCAAAATGGTTCAGTTAATGTTGATTTGATAATTGTAGATGTTAAACGACATTTAATATCACTTGCTGAACATTTTGACAAATATTTCTCGAAAGATGTTCCTGATAATATTGGAAATTTTGACTGGATCAGAAATCCGTTTAATGTTGAAATAGCTAATAGCATGCTCACAGGAAATGAACGGGAAGAACTGGTGGAAATTTCATGCGACAGAATTTTAAAAATCAGTTTTATGCAGCAACAACTTTCGAAATTCTGGCTCCCTGTAGCCTCCGAGTATCCATTGCTATCTCGAAAGGCAGTTAAGATTTTTGTTACCGTTTGCAACAACATATTTATACGAAGCAGGATTTTCGGCACTAACCAATCTGAAAAACAAATACAGATCCAGACTTGCTCCAGAAAGTGACTTACGTGTATGTTTATCAGTAATATCGCCAAGAATTAACAGTTTGTGCAAAGCCAAACAAGCACATCCTTCTCCCTAAGTGTGTATTAAAAAATCCTGTGTGTTTAATTGACAATAAAATTATTTGTTAAATACTATTACTGTTTTCATTTACATGTAAAATTAATATTTTAATATAACAAAATTTAATTTTGTTACATTTTGCAACAACATGCAGCATTAATTTATTTGATCATTTATGTCTAAAGTAAGCTTTAAACCAGCTTTTATTGCATTAATGCAAAATTATGTTATATTCAGCAAATACTTATGTATAAATTTCATAAGCGTTTATAAGGGGGTCTCTAAGGTAAAGCCTGAAATATAAAGGGGTCCGCAAGTCAAAAAGTTTGAAAACCCCTAGATTAGAGCCTCTAGTACTTTGCCAAAAAGAGGTAGAAAGCTGATAAAAGGATCAGACTTCTTGCCTGAGTTCTTAAAGACTGGAAAAGCATTTCCAACAAGCAGGTAAGCAAAAAGCAGCGAGGCATTTATTTTAGAGAGAACAGGTGCATACTTTTATAAATTTTGTAAATATAAAATTATTGTAAATAATCTAATAAATAATGTTTTTGTTGTCAAGAACAAAGACAAAAAAAAAGCTATTATTTCTGTTTCATATATTTGGGTTTTATTAAAATTCTAAAAATACCTTTTTTAAAACAAGAAAAATTAACGAGGGAATATTAAGCGGTGTCGAGAAAAAACATTTTTTTGTGGGTACATATGTTAAACTTTGCCAAATTATTTATTTTGCAAGGAAAAGTTTTTAAAAATTTTTAAGCTTATTTAACTTAATCAGGGTTCTACAGCGTGCGATAGATAAATTGTCGCCATTATATGTTCTTAATTTTGTAGACTGTCCCATATAGTAGGGTCAGTTGGGCACTGTGAGACAAAGTGCACCATAATGCAATTCACTCTGGCAGAAATTTGGAAATGATGTGCTGCACTGCTTGGTGCCAGAAGCTCCAATACGAACATTTCAGAGTATTTAGGTGTCAATCTGAAGACAGTGCAGAAGATTCAGAAAGAGTTGGAAGAGTCTAATGGTGATTATGAAGGTACTCACCCTGATTGTTTTGATAAGAAATTTGTTGGTAAGGGTCTTAGACTCAACACGGAGGCCTACATCAAGTACCTTGAGGATGTAGTGCTGCCCTGGATGAAGAGGGCGGCTGCTGGAAGAACCTCTGACTGGCAACAGGACTCTGCACCATGCCACACAAGCAGAAGAACCCAGTCATGGCTGTCAGACAATTTCTGTGACCACATCACCCCTTACATCTGATCACCTAACACCCCAGATTGCAGCCCCACTTGATGTGGGGTTGCAATCTGGGGTGTTGATATGTGGGATGCAATTGAATGGGAGATACTTGATATGTGGGATTCAATTGAGTGAGAGACCAATAAAACTTCTTGTAACACCAAAGATGAACTGAAGGCAAGAATTATGGCAGCGCCCACCAACTTAAACAAGAAGATCACCCAGAAGAGTTGCAGGAGATTCCGAAATTGTCTGGAGGCCGTGGTTGAAGCCAATGGCTATTTTATTGAATAAATTTATTCTTTAGTATTTCAAGATATTTTTTGTGTAATTTTGGTAAATATATCTGTTAAAATGAGATGTCAGTGTTATTTTCATTTTTGCGTAATTTAGATGACAATTTATCCATCGCACCCTGTGCAGTGAATAAGAACTTCTTTTTAGTCATGAAATTTCAAGCAAGATAATGGGATGTATTTTTGTTTAGGTATCGATGGGAGACAATGAAAAAGGTATTGCATTTTCTTGGAGAATTGTCTGAGAGCACACAGGAGTATTTTTTGGTTGCCTTACTCAAGGACTACCAACAGCAGCAACATCTCAGAGAAAGAATAATGACATGATCAAGATGTTGACGTTCCACACTACTCCAAATAAAAGGTTAGGAAGGAAACTCCTCCCCACTCAATACTGGAAAGAATGATAACAGTTACAGAACTTGGAAAATGTACTTTCCTGAAAAATTGTTTTAAGAGAAAGATTTTAATAGATTTTAACCAAAAAGTAGTACTGGTTGCTTGGTTAATGAATGCTGAATGTTTCCTTATAAGGAAGTGGCTAAAATTACCATTACCATTTCTGAATCAAGCAAAAGGAAACATGATATGCTTATTCCTGCATTCAGATATTGATTTGTTTTTTTTTTATAGTTTATCAACCTTTTGCAGGTTATTTAAAGTCAGAAAATATTTTTAGATTGTAAGAATTTTTTTTTTTTTTGAGATAATATTGAATGATACACTCCTTACTAATTAACCCAAAAGCTGGGATGGAGAGGGGAGGAGGTGGATTACCTTCCCAAGGATATTTGCACGTAAGTGACTATAATGCACCCAACTGGAATTGGAAATCAACTCTTTGATTAACAATTCCGAGCCATTATTCATTATACCACCCACACATCAAAGCCTACAGCACCTGGTATTCCCAAGTGGTCTTCCAGGCTCAATGTTGTTTAACTTTGGTGATCATATGGAAACTGGTGCTTCAGTGTGATGCGGCCGTAAGCCTGCATCCCCCAGAGGAAAGATTGAAAATACTCCTTTTACTCCCTGATGCAGGACTGGTAAATGCTCACTTGCAAAAAGCCAGCTGAAAGAAACTGTTTCAAAAAAGAAACAAAAAACAAAACAAAAAAAAACATCATTCTCTTTTCAAAAAAAAAAAAAAAAAAAAAAAAAAATAAAAAAAAAAAAAAAAAAAAAAAAAAAAGAAACAAAAAAAAAAAAAAAAAAGAAACAAGCAAAAAGAAAAAAAAAAGAAACAAGCAAAAAGAAAAAAAAAAAAAACAAGCAAAAAGAAAAAAAAAAAAAAAAGCAAAAAAAAAAAAAAAAAAAAAAAGAAAACACGAAAAAAGAAAAAACTTGAGAGACAACAGTGAGGAAGACATGAACATTTTTGGCACATCAACATCTACATGTGTCACACTTAAAAAGTATATAAGTCTTGGTTAAAATCTCAATTCATTACCCCATTGTAACTCATGAATCTTTAAAAATTTTTAAAAAAATGTCAAGGAACCAATTTATTTATTTATTTTCATTATTATTAACACTTGGGCCCTGCAAGTCGAGCGACTAGAATAGTTCTAGAGCAAACAAGACAATCCTTTTGTCACTTCCCATAATTGACTAGATAGTAAGGGGACATATTTTTGCACATATTTATATATGAGCTTGTATTTAACAAATAACGATTCAATAGCAAAGGAGACTGTTCTTCTGTTGCTTCTTATGCATGTGCAGACAAGAAGCATTAATATTATTTCATGGGATGAGAGAGAAAGAAATATGAAAAAAGGAGTGGGAAGAATGATATTTAGTAGAAATAGACCTTGGCTCCTTCTTGGTGGTGATGGGGGAGGCATTAGTATTTCCATCCACAAGTTATGAAGAGAGAGCGAGAGTATCTGAAGGGGAGGAGATCCAAAGAAAAAAAGGGTAAAGAGAAAATAGAAAGAGAAAACATACAGAGAAATATAAATACTAATGAATGAGAGAAAAGAAAGAAAAGAAAGGAATTATTTTATAATAAGAAAGAAGAAGACAAAAGTATTCGGGGAAGACAAAGGAGACACACACACACACACACACTCAAAAAGTATTCAGGGAAGATAAAGGACACACACACATTCAAAAAGTATTCAGGGAAGACAAAGGAGACACACACACGCAAAAGGTATTCAGGGAAGACAAAGGAGACACACACACGCAAAAGGTATTCAGTGAAGGCAAAGATGACACGCACACAAAAAGTATTCAGAGAAAATAAAGGAGACACACACATACACAAAATGTATTCATGGAAGACAAAGGAGACACACCCACGCAAAAGGTATTCAGTGAAGGCAAAGATGACACACACACAAAAAGTATTCAGGGAAGACAAAGGAGACACACACATACACAAAAAGTATTCAGGGAAGACAAAGGAGACACACACATACACAAAAAGTATTCAGGGAAGACAAAGGAGACACACACATACACAAAAAGTATTCAGGGAAGACAAAGGAGACACACACATACACAAAAAGTATTCAGGGAAGACAAAGGAGACACACACATACACAAAAAAGTATTCAGGGAAGACAAAGGAGACACACACATACACAAAAAGTATTCAGGGAAGACAAAGGAGACACACACACATTCAAAAAGTATTCAGGGAAGACAAAGGAGACACACATGCACACAAGAGACTCTGGGAAGAGAAATGAGACACACACACACGAAAATTCAGGGAAGACAAAGGTGACATGCATGAAAAAAAGAAATATTCTTTTATGGGTGGTCACATAGGGAGCACGCAGGTTGTAGGAAAAGGGTGAGAAATTCTAAAATGAAGAATTCCTTTGTAGATTTTGGCTTGCTCCCAAAAAGAAGCACACTTGTTCCATTAAAAATTGTTTTTTTGTCTGTGAGTCTATTTAAAAAAAAAGAAAATGGGGAAAAACAAAGATAAGATATAGCACCATCAATCAGTCTGCATCTGAGCCCAGCCTATCAAGAATGTGGTAATCAAAATGGACTCGATTTTCAAGGAAGACCTCGTTCGATTTATCTAAGTTTACTGGCAGGCATCCACAACGGTCGTGGAGTGCCAACCGATAAACAATCAACCAGATGACGCACACTGCAATAAAGTCAGTCATGCTGTGAACAACGAAATAGATAGACACAACCTCAACGTTGTCAGTGTTTGTCTCCCAGTGGCTTGGCGAGCAGAATATGTGGGCCATGTGACAAAGCCACGTGCCTTGTATAAAGGTGACATACGCCCGCAGGAAAGGAAAGATGACATGACTTTGGTAGTGCAATTCTAAAACGGTCACAATAACCGTTATGACAGCACAGTAGGTGACTAGATTCTCAGCGGCAGATGACAGCGACTCTGTCTCGTTGAACACGTAATGGCCAAACAAGATGCCCTCAACAACAAACGCAAAGAGGAAGAAGCAGTAGTCTAGGCCTGGCGGGACACTGTTGGCAAAGAACTGTGCAGTAATGTTAACCAGGCAGGAGACACCAAATGCAGAAAGTATTATGCATGTGCGCATCATCTGCATATTGGTCTTCCCTTGGCTGTCGAGGTGCCTGGTGCCAGTCACAATGACCGAAATAGCAATGAGGATGAGGATCAACTGGATCCAACTCTGGACGGACTGCTTGCATCCTTGCTTGCTGCAAGGGTAGATGAGCGACGAACGAAAGTCTATATGCTTCCAGCGTGTGTGGTAATAAACCCGGCTCAACTGAAGAATCCACCAGATACCGTAGAAGAGAAACATTGCACCAGGAATGATGAATTCAATATAGTTGCAGTCCACCTCACCGTTTCTTGAAGATTGGTACTCTGTGGTAAGATTGGCATTTTGTGTCATTTTAATCTGTGAATAAAAAAATAAATAAAAATTTTATGAAAAAGAAAGAAAGCAAAAAAAAATGAAGAAAGAAAGCAAAAAAAAGAAAAAGCAAAAAAATGAAAAAAGAAAGCAAGCAAAGAAGAAAAAAGAAGAAGAAGAAAAAAGAAGAAATATATCAACATCAAAATCCTGTCTCCCAAAAAATTGAATTTCACATCTTCTAAAGCTTTTAAAACACTTCATTAATTACTATCTTTGGGAAACTTTTTTAAATACTAAAGCTCACCCAATACAACACTTAAGAGCCTCTAAAGGTAGATTGTTAATTGACAGATTGATTTTTTACAACTTAACAACCCCCTGTTGGTTATTTAAAGTTAAAACATATTTTAGAATCATTTTTTTTCTGAAGTGAATATTACATTAACAATTTTGGGGGTATGATGACTTTTCCAGATATAAGTCTTACTATTTAACCCATAGCTTGGGGAAGGAAATGGATTCATACCTTTCCCACGGGTATTTGGTTGTAAGTCAATGTAATGAACCCAACTGGAACTTGAACTCGGCTCTCTGACTTCTCAGTACGAGCCACTATCCATTACACCACCTGCACACCCACTCAAATGGATACTGACAAAAATGGTGCTGTTGAAAATGAGATAAAATATAAATGAAAGAGGATGTGGTGGATAGGGAGGATAGATAATAATTGATCCTAAACTTGAGGAGGTTAAGACTGTTGTGTTCAAGGAAGTATCCATGATGGAGTCCGTTTCACAAAATTGCAGTTCTTGGGAAAAAGCTGAGTGGAACTTTTATCTGACCTTTTCAATATGGAGAAAATGAGGGTGATTTGACTCTGTGGAAGTAGCTTTGTGTGTCATAGCTGTAAGTGCATGAACTGGTGAAATTAAAGAATGGTGTTCATCTGAACATTTGCCATGGAAATTATGATAGAGTAGCGATAGGCTTGCAATGTTGTGTCTGTCGGAAAGAGGCTACAGAGTGGAGAATAAGCCTCTTCCCACCCTGCACAAGGCTGCGCAAGAACTGAGCATCTCTAGAAATGGCAGCAATATTCCATTTTTTGTCTAATCTGACTCTTGTAAAGATAAAGCATGACAGAAGGGGGTTGAGTATTTTCTAGGGCAATAGAATGATCTGACCATTTTTCCAGTACCAATATCCTTGGGAAAGGCATGAATCCAATTTTACCTTCACTCTGTCCTAGCATAGCATTGAACATGAACAGCAAGTAAGATTTTAGTATGGAATATCCAGGAGAATGTTGTCTTTTTTAAAAAATTAACTCAGACCCAAGCATGGCAATAAAGCCACTAAGGTTAATGAGTGTGAGAGAATAGGAAAAAAGAAAACAATATTAAGGAGAGAGAGAACAATAAATGAAGAGAAATTAAGACAGAAGACAATAATTGATATTGCATTTAAATTTTTGAGAACAAAGTTGCATCTCTTGGAAAGAGGCTGCAGTGTGGAGAATAAGCCCCCACCCTACAAGAGTGGAGTAAATGATTTTGATCTCTGTTAAGGCTGAAAAGCAAAAACTGACAAGCTCCAGAAATGGCAGCAATACTCCATTGCTTGGTCTGACTCTTGTAAAAAGCATGACAGAAGGAGTCAAATATAGTAAAAATACCAGTAATAATTAAAAAAAAAAAATTATTACCAGCAATACATTTTTGGAAAAAAGGTCTTACTAGCAATACATTTGACTCTCAGCAAAAACCCTCTTTACAAAAATTCATCAATGAAACCATATGGCGACAAAGATGAGGACAATAGTCCGAATAATGTAAATAATTGTATGAACCTATCCCAAAAATCTTGTTGACATTAAATAATCCACTGAGATTGATATGTCTTAAAACAAAATAAATAAATAAATAAACAATATCATGTGAGTGTTAAATTCTCTTGACATCCTTTCCTCATTATGAATCCCAGTAATTTCAACTGTCACTTTCCCAGTTGTAAGTAGGAGTTTCCTTATTTTTGTTAAAACTTCCTCTTTGTAATGCAAGGTTATTAGTAGGGATACTTGGTAGGAATCAAGCTCTTAAGAGAAAAAAAAAAAGGAATTGAAAATTTAAAAAATAAAAAAAATAAAAATAAATAAAAATGTCAATTGAAAAATAAAAACATGAATTATTTTTATTCATGTTTTTATTTTTCAATTAACATTTTTCTTTTTGACTTACACTGTTATTGAAAGTTCATCTACACGTGTTGGATTACATTCTTGGTGCTCCTAACCTTGATTGGTTGTTTGTATTTGACAAGCGTTTCCAATTCATCTTGGAAGAAGCTATGGAAAAAGTAAAATAAAGAAATCTATAATTAATACTTAAAAAAAACAAGTGACTCTTTGAATCGAGTGAACAACAGTAAAAATTTTTTTGATTGATTGATGGTTTTTGTTTGATGGGAAATCAAATTTCTTTTTATATGAGACATGGGAAGAGGCTATAAGAAAGGTACAATACATTCACTGAATAAAAGTACTTGGGTTAACAAAAACTACAGTGCCTTCCTTGATGAATTTCAACTTAATATTAAGAAGATAACTAGAAAAGATTGTAAAAAAAAAAAAAAAAAAAAAGACACAATAGAGACAGAAAAAGCAGCATGGAACACCTTTGTCAAATTGGTTCAGGGCTTCCTGGGGAATCACAAGGCTGAAAACTATTTGAAGCTTGTTGAGATCCTGGTGAAGAATTATAGCAAAATAGGCAGCAGGATGTCTTTCAAAGTCTATATCCTTGACAATCATTTTAAGGAGAACATGGGGGCGTACTCAGAGAAGCAAGGTGAGCACTTTCATCAGGATATACTGGACTTTGAATGCCGCTACCATGGATTGTATAGTTGGGGGTAGATTTGCAAAAGTAATTTACAGTATAAGTGTAAAATCACAAAAAAACTACTCACTTCTAAGTTTTTTGTGGTTTCTCTTGTGTAATCCTAGAATGAATAAATGCTACTTTTGAATCATATCTAGTTTTGTTCCTACTTTGCATGAACGAGAATGTTCACATTTACTAGTTTTCCCAATAGGAATAGATAACACTATTTACATTATTCGGACTATTGTCCTCATCTTTGTCAGCATTTTTATTACAATGTTTTGGCCGTTGTATGCTCCGGCCTTCTTCAGGAGATTGGAATGTCGAACTGAACACTCTATTTTGCTCACTGGGGTAGACTGTTCTAGTTCCACATGCTATGTTTAATGGATGCCAGTTATCTCCTGTTAATTCCTCTCTCCAAGTTCTCCACAAGAACACATGGCACAGTGGATAAAGGCGTTAGTTAGATCCAGTGACAGGACCCAAACAGTGTGAGTTCAATATCCGGTTAAGGCAGGGGAGAACTTGAAGAGGGAAATTCACAGGAGATAACTGACAACTGACATCCATTAAACATGGCATGTGGCACTAGAACAGTCGACCCCAGTGAGCGAAATAAAAGGTTCAGTTCGACCTTTCAACTGCCTGAAGAATGCCGGACCGTACAACAGCTGGAATGTTGTAATAAATATGGCGAGAAAGAGGAGGAAAATAGTCCGAATAATGTAAATAGTGTACATAATATCTCTTCTCAGAAATATAGACAGATACTGAGGAATAGATAAATTTCAGAAAAATCATTATCCAAGGAAGGTTTGTGAAATTTTTCTCCGTCCGACTTGCCTTCAATATGTCCTGTGAATATCAAATTCTACTAGCTCTCTTTCTTTAATATGTACCCTAAAAATTTCAATTATGTCTTCCTGATGTTAAGTATAATTGTCCTTTTTGCTTCCATTTGTATAAAATGTCATTGTTCAGCCCATGATATTCTCAGCAAACTGCTTTTTGTAGAAAGACTTTTCTGTTGCTTCAAATCTCTTTATCTGTGAGGAGATTGCCATATTGCAATTATTTAACAATTCAGGAAACTTAACTTTTTCTTTTCTCTCTTTCTTTCTTCCACGCAACATTAGTTTCTGAAACTTTCAGCTAAGTCTTGTATGCAGAAGAAATCTAATTCCCGAAAATAACTACAAACGTGAAAAATAAATAAAATTACATTCCTCAAATAGGGAGTTTATGAAAAGTATACTTTATTTTTAGAAGATTTTTAAAATTTGTCAAAAACGGCCGATTTTAATGATTTTACTGAAAGCAACAACAAAAAAAAAAAAAAAAAAAAAAAAAATTGTTTTCAATCAATATAATACACCGGAGTATTTTGCTTATTGGAAATAATAACTTTCAATTAAAGCTAAAAAGAAAGCTTCAAGAATGCTTTTTCTGTTTTAAAATTCATAAGCCTTAGGTATCGAAATTAGTGGAGGTACCTAAATAATTTTGTATTGATTTTTTTTTTTTTTTGGCTTATCGATCAGTTTTGGATTGTAAGAATAAATTGAATAATTCCTTTATTTTTTTTTTTGGTGACTGAATATTGTATTCATTAACAATTTGAGAATAACAATGATTTTTTTCTTGAGCTCATAGCTGTGGGGAAAGAGATGGATTATTATTCTTAAATCTTAATATTCCTAAAGATGCAGCCATTTCATGAGAGAATCAGAAAACAAAAATACAAATAAAAACAGAATCAAGAATCTTTAAGACTTTCTGCTTTTTCACCGCACTGTCCCCTTATTTTGTAGAGCCCTACTTGGAAAAGTATCAAATAAAAAAAGTAAAGACGAGAATTAATTGGGGAAGGATGCATATATAAAGAAAGAATAATCATTAATGTCAGCTGGAAGTTAGAGGAATAGATTTTTTTTTTTTTTCCTAAAAAAGTAAAAAATATTTTTTACAGACGTATATTTGGGAGAACAAATATTTAACAGAAATAAAATACGGACAAACAAAAACTGTTATTCGCGAGTTGCCAAATTTACCTGA